CAGTAACAACTAAAGAAATCTCTGAGCGAGTTTCTGGTAGCTTATCACTTACATTAGGGTTAGCAGGCCAACTAGACATGTCGCCCTTTAAAAACTGTGGACCAGACCACCATAGGTCAAGATTATGAATTTGATTTATGTTCGTACCGCGGGAAACATAGTCTGCCGGATTGAGATCAGTGGGAACATGTCGCCAAGTAAATGAACCTGTTTTTTCCAAAATTTCGGCAACTCGATTACGAACAAAAGGTTGTAATTTGTTAGGTAGCATTTTTAACCAACCTAAAACGATTGTCGAATCTGACCAAAAAATTACTGATCTTACTTGGATTCGAAGCGAACTTATCACCTTCTCATAGAGACGGACACCGACAAGTGCAGCGCAGAGCTCAAGCCGTGGTATTGTAGTCGGCCTTATGGGAGCTACGCGACTTTTGGCTGAAAGTAAACGCACCAACACATTATTTTTATTATTAGAACTACGGACATACAGACACGCTCCGTAAGCCACTTGAGATGCGTCACTAAAAATATGTAAGTCTACATTAATATATTGATTGCAGATGACACTGCGTGGAATTCTTAAATTGTTTAAAAATGATAAGTTTTCTACAATTGAAAGCCATAATTTAATTATTTCCGAAGGCAACTGTTCGTCCCATGTAAGTTTAAGTAACCATAATTTTTGCATTAAAATTTTCGTAGAAATTATGCATGGGATCAGAAGACCCAGTGGATCGAAGATTTGTGAAATAACCGAGAGTAATCCACGTTTTGTAAAATTATTTAAAACGATTTCACTCGTCGAAAAATACAGTTCATCAGACTCGATTCGCCAGCTGAGACCTAACGTTTTACAGGGTTCCGTAGAACCAATATTTAAGTCGAGCGATGAATTGTTATTATTTAGTATTACTCGAGGTTCATTTGATTTCCACTTACGGAGGTTCATACCAGCTGTGGCCAATTCAGAAGACACCTTGTTACGTATGTCCAGCGCATCTTGAATGCTGTCCCCTCCCGTTAATAGGTCATCGACGTAGAAGTCATGGATTATTATTTCGGAGATTTTATCATCCTTGCAATCCATACCAATCTGCTTAAGACATCTGGTGGCGAGATAGGGTGCGCTGGCTGTGCCATACGTAACGGTGTTTAACTGGTACGCTTTCATGGGCTCTGATGGATCATTTCTCCAAACTATTTGTTGGAGAGGTCTGTCATCAGGATGTACGACGATCTGTCTATACATCTTTTCTACGTCTGCTGATAGCACGTACTTATGTTGTTGGAATCTAAGTAGTATAGATAGCAGATCATCCTGTACAGTGGGCCCCACTAATTGCAAATTATTATATGAAATACCGGAAGTAGTCGGACAGCTCGCATTGAAAACAACTCTGAGCTTAGTCGTTAAGCTGCTTTCGCGAATCACTCCATGATGTGGTATAAAATATGCCAACCTCCGTGGATCAAATGAACATTCAGACATATGTTCTAGTTTTAGATACTCTGACATGAATTGAGTATAATTATTTTTAAATTTGGGTTGACCCTTAAACCTACGCTCAAGAGAAAGGAGGCATAGCTTGGCGCGTTGTAGGGAACCGCCTAAAATATCACGTGATTGTTTCAGTGGTATTCTCACACAGAAACGACCGTCTTGTACCGTTGACGAGTTGTATTTTTAATAATCTCCTCCGCGGAGAGAACTGATGACTCATGGCAAACCTCCTCTAGGTGCCAAAAACGCGTCAATAGGTTTTGAATATCATCGTTATTATTATTGTGCGAAGAGACGTTTTCCTTCAAATTTAGTTTTACTAAAAACGACTTAGTGTTAGAAATCGAATACGGTACTTGGCCATTATTAATTAAGGGGCCTGAGACTAGCCATCCTAACCTAGATTCAAAGAGTACCGGCTTTCCGTTTCCTAAACAATTTTACGTACCCCTAATAGGTCCCAAAAAACATCCGCACCAACACACAGACACACAGACACACATACACACATACGCACACACACACATACAAACAGAAACACAGACACACAGACACACAGAAACACAGACACACACACACACACACAACACAACACACACACACACACACACACACACACACACACACACACACACACACACACACACACACACACACACACACACACACACAGAGAGAGACACACGAACAGACACAGACACACACAGACACACACACACACACACACACACACACACCACACACACAGAGAGAGAGAGAGAGAGAGAGAGAGAGACACGCACACGCACACACACGCACGCGCACGCACACACACACATACACAGACGCACTCACACACACACACACACACACACACACACACACACACACACACACACACACGAGAGAGAGAGACACACAGACACACACACACACACACACACACACACACACACACATACACATACACACACACACACACACACACACACACACACACACACAGAGAGAGAGAGAGAGAGAGACGCACGCACGCACGCACACACGCACGATCGCACGCACACAAACACACACACACACACATACACACACACAGACACACACACACACACACACACACACACACAGACGCACTCACGCACGACACGCACGCACACCGCACGCACCCCCAACACACACACACACTAACACACACACTTCTGGGTTACCTAACTCATGGGCGGATGCAGTAGAGTCGAAGGGGAGGCGTTGGCCGTTAGTTTGGACATAGCGAAGGCCTTTGCTTGGGTTTGGCACAAAGCGCTTTTTACGAAGCTTCCTTCCTATGAGCTTCCCAAGAAATTGTGCAATTAGATCAACAGTTTCCTTGCTGATCGGAGCATCAATGTCGTAGTAGACGATGCATGCTCCGATTACAAGCCCATTAATGCTGGTGTTCCACAAGGCTGCGTGCTATCACCAACCCTGTTTCTTCTACATATCAACGGAACGGAACGGAAACATTCATTGCTATGTAGACGACAGTACTGGTGATGTTTTGTACACCGGCCGTGCCAAGATTTCTCGGGAAAACGTCACAGAGTACCGGGCCTAACTTGTGTCTGAAGTCGACACTTTGTTGAAGAAAGTCTCGGACTGGGGGCGACTAAATCTAGTCCAGTTTAACCCCCAGAAGACACAAGTTTGTGCGTTTACCGCTAAAAGCCCCTTTCGTCATATCTCCTCAGTTTCAAGGCACTCCCCTTGTTGCCTCAGCCAGTATTGGAATCCTCGGCGTTGACATATCGAGTGACGTGCAGTTTCGTGGTCACTTGGAAGAGAAGGCCAAATTGGTTTCTAAAAAGCTTGGCGTGCTCAGCAGAGCGGGACAGTATTTCATGCCGGCTCACCGCCTGCAAATTTACAAGGCGCAGGTTCGGCCGCACATGGAATACAGTTCCCATCTTTGGGCCGGAGCTCCTCAGTGCCAGCTCCTTACATTTGATCGCATCCAGCGCAGAGCTGTTCGAATAGTCAGCGACTGAGGTCTTTTCGATCGGCTTGACTCACTGGCACTGCGAAGAGATGTTGCATCTCTTTGTGTATTTTATCGCATCTACCACGGGGAGTGCTCTGAGGAATTGTTCGGACTAATTCCAGCAGCACAATATCACAATCGCACATCGCGATAAAACTCGCGATATCATCCGTACCATCTGGATGACTGACGGTCCACCACCAGAGTTTTTTCCAGACCGATACTACTTACGGACCTTCAAGAAAAGAGCATACTCATTTTTATAAGGCCGGCAACGCATCTGCAATTCCCCTGGTGTTGTTCATGGGCGGCGGTAATCACTTACCATCAGGTGAGCTGTGTGCTCGCTTGCCCTCTCTCCTATAAAAAAAGTTCTCTTAATCAGTGATACACAACATTAATATACTTAGGCTGGATCAGTGCCGTCACGACGGTCACGATTTAATATGATGGACAGCGTTTAGCAGATTTGAGTCAAACCCAAAGATTTTTTTAAAATTGAAATATAAAATTTATAATTCAATTTTATATATAGAAATCAATATTTCTGGTTTACTTTTTACAAAATTTATCATAAATATATATTTTTTTCAATTTTTTTACATGGTGTAAAATACCCTCTTAAAGTCAACGGTTACATCGTGTCCTTATAATAAGTTGGCATGGGTTTGACTGGCTTTTGCGACACTGGAAATGTAGTGTTGAAACAACTATTTTCTTCTTAATTTTTTACGTGATAGAGATACAGCCGTATCAAAGAGTCCCTGGGGAATAGACGAGCAGCGTAATGCTGCTGTTTCGTATGGTGTGCGTAGAGAACAGGAGAATCATTTTATTGACAACGAGGCATTCCATCTTAGTCCGGATTTTGATTCTATTTTGAGGGTAAAAAGTAGGTGGAGAAATAAAATATATTCGAGGACATGAGAAGTTAAGAAGAGAAGAGAAAAAAATTACAGCACTCTCAGTAATTTACGAGTATATTAATTTATAGAATTTGAATGAAACGAATTTAAAAGTAATATCGCGTTCAATGTAAATTTATTTTTGAATTCCAAGCGTTTGAAGAAAACTGCAGCGTCCTCCCTCGAGCCAGGACATTAGTATTAAAGTATATAATTATGTTCATTGCTCTGTTAAAACCTTTTTATTCCACAGCCGTTGGAACCGAGCTCGTTGCAGTTGGCGATTTTGAAAAAGGCATGTATGAAATTTACAGCGTTAATGTGATATTGAAACCATTTTTTTAATTTATTCATATAACAATAATAATAATACTCTCACAGAAATCCCTGAAGTCCCTGAATCTCCTGATATTCCGCTTCCTGACTTGAATACTCCTCATCCGAACGTGTTAGTATTTTTTCAAAATAACCTGTAAACATTATGGTAAAATTTTTTTATTAATCTAATTTTTATATTATCTAAAATATGGTAAGTATATTTTTATTTTCTTATGGAGGCAATTGTCCTCATTAAAATATATTTATTTCATTACAGGCAAACTGCGGAACAGAAAGCCATTAATTCGGTCATTTACGAACTACCTACAGACGTTCCGACTCAGGCTACCGTAGGAGCACAGGCTGATGAAATTGTTTTAGAGGTAATAATAAACCTTGCGAGTAAAATTGAAAACAACAGTGTCTACGGCAGTGACGTGTAATTATCTGATGGTTTTTGGTTCGAATCTTAGATATCATTTAGAGATTACAATTTTAACAAAATGCCATTAATATTGTGGTGTTTCAATAAATGTTTATTAATCGTTTTAGGAAACTATGGCTCGTTCTTGAAGTAGGTAATTAAAACCTGGCCGGTCACATTATAGTGTAGCCCACAAAACAATGTATAATTAGTGTTAGATGGACAATAAGGGATCAGTTTTCTTGAAGTCGTAATACCAGCAATACGACTCCGCGTTAAAACCTTCCTGCATTACAAGATCAACAGGCCTCCAACTTGGTTACCGTGAAATCATTATCGCTTTTAAGGGGGCGTTAAGTAATTACGTTAGGTAGTAGTTAAGTGAGGAGAGGCGAGGGTCGAACCGAATCTCACAAGCCGATGGCACGTGGGAGAGATGAGGGGCTTTGGCAATTTTATTTCATCATCATCATCATCATTACAGCCCTTCACAAGTCCACTGCTGAACATAGGCCTCCCCCAAGTAATGCCACAAAGCACGGTCCTGATCCACCTGCATCCATCGACTTCCTGCATGTCTTACCAGGTCGTCACTCCATCTAGTGAGGGGTTGCCCTACACTACGCCTACCAGTACGAGGCTGCCACTCGAGAACCTTTCTTCCCCATCGGTTATCGGTTCTTCGAGCTATGTGGCCGGCCCATTGCCACTTCAGCTTTCTAATCCGTTGGGCTATGTCGGTCACTCTGGTTTTACTGCGGATATCCTCATTTCTGAGTCTATCACGCAGTGAAACTCCGAGCATAGCCCTCTCCATAGCTCGCTGAGCGACCTTGAGCGTCTTCATACGGCCAGCGGTGAAGGACCATTCTCAGATCCGTAAGTCATCACTGGCAACACGCACTGGTTATACACTTTAGTTTTCAGAGATTGAGGTATACCTGACGAGAAGATGTGTCGTAATTTCCCGAACGCTGCCCAGCCGAGTTGAATCCGTCGATTGACCTCTCGGTCGAAGTTGGACTTACCTAGTCGGACTATTTGTTCCAGGTAAACGTACTCGTCAACAACTTCGAGCATAGTGCTCCCAACAACTACCGGCATAGGTGTGACATGGACATTAAACATGATCTTTGTTTTGTCCATGTTCATCTTAAGACCTATCCGTTGGGAGACACTAAGTTCCTCCAGCGATTTTGCCATAAGTACTATATCGTCGGCAAATCGAAGGTGAGTGATGTACACGCCATTGATGTTAATACCGTATCCTTTCCAGTCCAGTAGCTTGAAAACATCTTCCAACGCAGCGGTGAAGAGTTTCGGGGATATAACATCACCCTGTCTTACACCTCTCTGCAGTTGGATAGGTTTCGAATTCTGGTTCCGTACTCGAATAGCCATCGTAGCCCTGCTGTACAAACACTTCAGCACTTCTATATACCGACAGTCAACTTGGCACCGCTGAAGGGACTGTAGCACCGCCCAAATTTCGACGGAATCAAAGGCTTTCTCATAGTCCACATATGCCAGGCAAAGTGGCAGATTGTACTCCTCGGTCTTCTGTACAATCTGCCGCAGGGTATGTATGTGGTCTATGGTACTGAAGCCTTTTCGGAAACTGGCTTGTTCGGGAGGCTGGAAGTCGTCGAGTCTGCGTGCGAGACGATTTGTAATGACTCTCGAAAACAGCATACAGAATAGACGCGGCTCAGAAGGGGAATCGGTCTGTAGTTCTTCAAGAGAGCGTTGTCGCCTTTCATAAAGAACAAGACCACCGCGCTTCTGCTCCACGCCTTCGGAGTAGTGCCACCATGGAGGACGGAATTGAAGAGCTTCTGAAGGACTTCAAGTACCGATGTTCCACCCGCTTTCAGAAACTCCGCTGTAATTCCATCCTCGCCCGGGGCCTTGCCGTTTTTAAGGTGGTGGAGAGCCATTCTAATCTCGCTCAGACTGACGTCCGAGATATCATCGGAATAGTGTCGGATAAGACTTGCTCTTGGATCGTTACTCACACTTGCGTGTGGCTCCAACGATGATGTGTACAGCTGCCCATAGAACCTCTCAATCTCACTCAGAATCTCAGGTGTCCCGGAAACGATGTTGCCACACTCAGTCTTCAGCCTTGACAGTTGGCTCTTTCTGGCAGACAGATCTCTGGCAAAGACTTTGGAGCCCTGGTTCCGCTCGATCGCTTCTTTAATACGAGCAGTATTAAAGTTGCGTAAGTCTCGCCGCATGCATTTGGAGATCTGTCTGTTCAGTTGCCTGTGTGCTGTCAAATCTGTTGACGATTGCAGCCTCATCTCCCGTCTAACAGCCATGAGGTTAAGAGTGTGATCGGAGAGTTTTTGTGTTCTTCTGCGGCGGGTCTTGCAGAACTTAGCTCCGACCGCATGGACAGTTTCCACGAGCTTGTCATTTATATCGTCCACTGCATTGCAATCCTCTAGGCACTGAAAGCGGTTTTGTAACTCGAGCTGAAAGGTTTCGGGATTCTGGATTAGAGCACGAGGGGGGACGGAGCGTTGACTTCATTAGACGAGACCTCTCCAACTTAACTTTTAGGTTCAGTGTGCCTCTAACCATTCGGTGATCGCTGCCAGTTTTCACCCTTGCGATCACTGAGACATCACTGAACAGTTGGCGTCTGGTCGTCATAATGAAGTCAATCTCATTTTTTGTCGAACCGTCGGGGCTCGACCAGGTCCACTTCCTATGGGGCCGCTTCTGGAAGAAAGAGTTCATCATAAAGAGTCCCTCTTTCTCCATAAAGTCGGCCAGCTGCTGTCCCCTTCGGTTCCGTTGCCCTACTCCTAACTTCCCCACATTCAGCTCACCGCCTTCTCTTGTGCCTAGTTTTGCGTTGTAGTCTCCCATCAACACCGTGTAGTAGGTTTTGGAGGAATGCATGGCTCTGGAAATATCCTCATACATTTCCTCCACCTCCTCATCGGGATGTGCCGAGGTTGGTGCGTAAACCTGTATGACCTTCAGCGAATACCGTTTGGTGATTCTGAGTATCAGGTACGCGACCCTCGTCGACACACTCCCAATATTTACAACGTTGTTGACGAGAGACTTGTGGACGATAAATCCGACACCTCCTTGGGACAGATGGTCGCCCTCCCGGTGGTAGAACAAGTTGCCGGACTCGAGGATTGCCGTATCCTCCCCCTCTCTTCGGACCTCGGATAATCCAATAATATGCCAGCGCAACTTGTCTACCTCTTCTTCCAGCTCCAGTATCTTCTCGTCAGTCCTCTGGGTGCGTGCGTTATATGTTGCCAGGTCGAATCGTCGTAGGTGGCAACCGAACCTCCACCGGAGATTCTTAGCACCCCCTGCCCCGCCGTTACCATGGTCGCCACCATAGCCGGGAATAGTGGGGCCGCCGGGGACTGGGGGCCGTTTTTTTGCGTCGTTATTCATGGGGGGATATTTGCCATAGTTGCCACGTTTGGCGAGCAGGTTGGCAACCGCAGTTTTTTATTATAACACAGTTGTTATCAGAAAGATGCTGCTGCCCATCTCCTGCCTGTCTCCCTCTGTCGCCTCTTACGACACCCACGGGAAGATATGGGGTAGTGGATATTCTCAACCGCCACTACACGGCAATTTTATTTAAATAAACGTAATTTTTTTCCGCAAGAAGCAATGAAAAATTGCGAGAAAACTTACTGAACTTACGAATTTTAGTAGTTCCTGCTTAAGTATTTTATTGTTTTTATTGAGATTCTTTCAAAAAGAGCCAAAATCGCCTCTAAAATTTAATGGACGCTTCCTCACATAATAATAATTAGAATAATTTTCGAAACTATACGATAATTTATTTCAGAATTGTCGACAGTTATTTATAGTTTTATTTCGGATATCCGATGATTTTTTTACGGTTACGGAATTTCATCATTTCTCTGAAAAGTAGAACCCTTTTCTTGTCTATAAGCCCGTCTGATCAGGCACCAACCACGTTGTATTGGGTTAGGTGTGTTCTGGCCTGAAGAGCTACATCTGATACCAATATTATAAAGAAAGGCATATAAAATATAAATGCAGGCTGTGAGTCATTCCGTCTTCGTTAGGTGTGTTCTGGCCTGAAGAGCTACATCTGATACTAATATTATAAAGAAAGGCAGTATAAAATATAAATGCAGGCTGTGAGTCATTCCGTCTTCGTTAGGTGTGTTCTGGCCTGAAGAGCTACATCTGATACCAATATTATAAAGAAAGGCAGTATAAAATATAAATGCAGGCTGTGAGTCATTCCGTCTTAGTTAAGTGTGTTCTGGCCTGAAGAGCTACATCTGATACTAATATTATAAAGAAAGGCAGTATAAAATATAAATGCAGGCTGTGAGTCATTCCGTCTTCGTTAGGTGTGTTCTGGCCTGAAGAGCTACATCTGATACCAATATTATAAAGAAAGGCAGTATAAAATATAAATGCAGGCTGTGAGTCATTCCGTCTTAGTTAGGTGTGTTCTGGCCTGAAGAGCTACATCTGATACCAATATTATAAAGAAAGGCAGTATAAAATATAAATGCAGGCTGTGAGTCATTCCGTCTTAGTTAGGTGTGTTCTGGCCTGAAGAGCTACATATGATACCAATATTATAAAGAAAGGCAGTATAAAATATAAATGCAGGCTGTGAGTCATTCCGTCTTAGTTAGGTGTGTTCTGGCCTGAAGAGCTACATCTGATACCAATATTATAAAGAAAGGCAGTATAAAATATAAATGCAGGCTGTGAGTCATTCCGTCTTAGTTAGGTGTGTTCTGGCCTGAAGAGCTACATCTGATACCAATATTATAAAGAAAGGCAGTATAAAATATAAATGCAGGCTGTGAGTCATTCCGTCTTAGTTAGGTGTGTTCTGGCCTGAAGAGCTACATCTGATACCAATATTATAAAGAAAGGCAGTATAAAATACAAATGCAGGCTGTGACTCATTCCGTCTTAGTCGCTCGATATAACGCATTTGTAGCTTTCTTTGTTTGAAGTTAGTTACAGGTGTTAGATAAGTTCGATTCAACTTTATTTAAAAAAACCGTTCTATTAATTTTATAATACGACGTATGTTTGTTATGCAGGAGCTGGAATATGTGGAGCCGCAAGTGAAACAGCGTCGTCAACAGAAGCTCATCATCGACAAGAAGACCGAGCTGAGCACAGAGTACATGCGCGTCAGGAACGACAATATACCTGTCCAATTACGATGCCAAGTTTTTTTTATCTCTATCAAATTATTTTTATTTATTATCAAAACGGAGTAATTGAATAAAATTTATTTTAATGTATATTGATAGCAGCAAATTTTGTCGAATAATTTCAGTAAAATTTAAGTCAATGTCCCTAAAAGCGAAATAAGTTTCTTTTATAAAGCGCTTTTATATTAGCTTGCCATTAAGAGGGCATAAGCGATTCAAGTAAGTAAGTCAAAAACTTCATGTCTTAGCGCTTTTTCCATGGTCGATATCGTTACGATGTAAGCAGATTATTTGCCGGAATTACGGCCTTAGGAAGATGAAGCCTTTATTTAGTGCACTACAGAGCAATATTATAATTTTTAATGACGGTTTTATAGAGCAAAGGCAATCCCTTCTAGCGTTTCACGATAAAATGCTCCTAACTTATCATTCAGGTAGAAGACAACCATTTTTGTAAGCTAAATATTTTATTTTAAGCGTTATTGTAACTATATATTATGTAGTCTTGAAGTGCAACACATAGCATAAATTAAGAAAATATTTCGATTTAATATTCAAAAAAAAACTGTAAAATCACGAAAACAGTCCACCTCAATGTCATTTTTTCCGTGTATTAGAACATAAATTTATCTACTTCAATTATTTTATCAAAATACAGGTAATGTTAAATATCTAAAAAAATTAGCACATTTTATTTAATGAATTATTTTATATGATCTCGACACACCGTCACCGTACCGTACACCGTACGTCCGATCAGTACACTCCAGGTCCGCACGCGTTCCTTCACACTGACAGCGTAAATATTCACTAAAAACACATTAAATAGTTGACATCAATGTTTGAAACTTTGCGCGTAATATGTTGGCGAGATACACATGTCAATCATGTTGACTCGTTTTGTTTCTCTCACTGCCTGGTGCCACTTGCCCGACACGCTATGCATCGACGTCGGTAATTTGACGATCATTTATTTTTTCATTCTGTTGCTAGTAATCAGACAGTACCTAACGTAGTGTGTTGGCGAGATACACATGTCAATCATGTTGATTCGTTTTGTTTGTCTCACTGCCTGGTGCCACTTGCCCGACACGCTATGCATCGACGTCGTTAATTTGACGATCATTTATTTTTCATTCTGTTGCTAGTAATCAGACAGTACCTAACGTAGTGTGTTGGCGAGGTACACATGTCAATCATGTTGACTCGTTTTGTTTGTCTCACTGCCTGGTGCCACTTGCCCGACACGCTATGCATCGACGTCGGTAATTTGACGATCATTTATTATTTCATTCTGTTGCTAGTAATCAGACAGTACCTAACGTAGTGTGTTGGCGAGGTACACATGTCAATCATGTTGACTCGTTTTGTTTGTCTCACTGCCTGGTGCCACTTGCCCGACACGCTATGCATCGACGTCGGTAATTTGACGATCATTTATTTTCTCATTCTGTTGCTAGTAATCAGACAGTACCTAACGTAGTATGTTGGCGAGATACACATGTCAATCATGTTGACTCGTTTTGTTTGTCTCACTACCTGGTGCCACTTGCCCGACACGCTATGCATCGACGTCGGTAATTTGACGATCATTTATTTTTTCATTCTGTTGCTAGTAATCAGACAGTACCTAACGTAGTGTGTTGGCGAGGTACACATGTCAATCATGTTGACTCGTTTTGTTTGTCTCACTGCCTGGTGCCACTTGCCCGACACGCTATGCATCGACGTCGGTAATTTGACGATCATTTATTTTTTCATTCTGTTGCTAGTAATCAGATAGTACCTAACGTAGTGTGTTGGCGAGGTACACATGTCAATCATGTTGACTCGTTTTGTTTGTCTCACTGCCTGGTGCCACTTGCCCGACACGCTATGCATCGACGTCGGTAATTTGACGATCATTTATTTTCTCATTCTGTTGCTAGTAATCAGACAGTACCTAACGTAGTGTGTTGCCGAGATACACATGTCAATCATGTTGACTCGTTTTGTTTGTCTCACTGCCTGGTGCCACTTGCCCGACACGCTATGCATCGACGTATATACGATAACTTGACGATCATTTATTTTTTCATTCTGTTGCTAGTAATCAGACAGTACCTAACGTAGTGCGTTGGCGAGATACACATGTCAATCATGTTGACTCGTTTTGTTTGTCTCACTGCCTGGTGCCACTTGCCCGACACGCTATGCATCGACGTCGGTAATTTGACGATCATTTATTTTTTCATTCTGTTGCTAGTAATCAGACAGTACCTAACGTAGTGTGTTGGCGAGATACACATGTCAATCATGTTGACTCGTTTTGTTTGTCTCACTGCCTGGTGCCACTTGCCCGACACGCTATGCATCGACGTCGGTAATTTGACGATCATTTATTTTCTCATTCTGTTGCTAGTAATCAGACAGTACCTAACGTAGTGTGTTGGCGAGATACACATGTCAATCATGTTTACTCGTTTTGTTTGTCTCACTGCCTGGTGCCACTTGCCCGACACGCTATGCATCGACGTCGGTAATTTGACGATCATTTATTTTTTCATTCTGTTGCTAGTAATCAGACAGTACCTAACGTAGTGTGTTGGCGAGGTACACATGTCAATCATGTTGACTTGTTTTGTTTGTCTCACTGCCTGGTGCCACTTGCCCGACACGCTATGCATCGACGTCGGTAATTTGACGATCATTTATTTTTTCATTCTGTTGCTAGTAATCAGACAGTACCTAACGTAGTGTGTTGGCGAGATACACATGTCAATCATGTTGACTCGTTTTGTTTGTCTCACTGCCTGGTGCCACTTGCCCGACACGCTATGCATCGACGTATATACGATAACTTGACTATCATTTATTTTTTCATTCTGTTGCTAGTAATCAGACAGTACCTAACGTAGTGTGTTGGCGAGGTACACACGTCAATCATGTTGACTCGTTTTGTTTGTCTCACTGCCTGGTGCCACTTGCCCGACACGCTATGCATCGACGTCGGTAATTTGACGATCATTTATTTTTTCATTCTGTTGCTAGTAATCAGGCAGTACCTAACGTAGTGTGTTGGCGAGGTACACATGTCAATCATGTTGACTCGTTTTGTTTGTCTCACTGCCTGGTGCCACTTGCCCGACACGCTATGCATCGACGTCGGTAATTTGACGATCATTTATTTTCTCATTCTGTTGCTAGTAATCAGACAGTACCTAACGTAGTGTGTTGGCGAGATACACATGTCAATCATGTTGACTCGTTTTGTTTGTCTCACTGCCTGGTGCCACTTGCCCGACACGCTATGCATCGACGTCGGTAATTTGACGATCATTTATTTTCTCATTCTGTTGCTAGTAATCAGACAGTACCTAACGTAGTGTGTTGGCGAGATACACATGTCAATCATGTTGACTCGTTTTGTTTGTCTCACTGCCTGGTGCCACTTGCCCGACACGCTATGCATCGACGTCGGTAATTTGACGATCATTTATTTTTTCATTCTGTTGCTAGTAATCAGACAGTACCTAACGTAGTGTGTTGGCGAGGTACACATGTCAATCATGTTGACTCGTTTTGTTTGTCTCACTGCCTGGTGCCACTTGCCCGACACGCTATGCATCGACGTCGGTAATTTGACGATCATTTATTTTTTCATTCTGTTGCTAGTAATCAGACAGTACCTAACGTAGTGTGTTGGCGAGGTACACATGTCAATCATGTTGACTCGTTTTGTTTGTCTCACTGCCTGGTGCCACTTGCCCGACACGCTATGCATCGACGTCGGTAATTTGACGATCATTTATTTTTTCATTCTGTTGCTAGTAATCAGACAGTACCTAACGTAGTGTGTTGGCGAGGTACACATGTCAATCATGTTGACTCGTTTTGTTTGTCTCACTGCCTGGTGCCACTTGCCCGACACGCTATGCATCGACGTCGGTAATTTGACGATCATTTATTTTCTCATTCTGTTGCTAGTAATCAGACAGTACCTAACGTAGTATGTTGGCGAGATACACATGTCAATAATGTTGACTCATTTTGTTTGTCTCACTACCTGGTGCCACTTGCCCGACACGCTATGCATCGACGTCGGTAATTTGACGATCATTTATTTTTTCATTCTGTTGCTAGTAATCAGACAGTACCTAACGTAGTGTGTTGGCGAGGTACACATGTCAATCATGTTGACTCGTTTTGTTTGTCTCACTGCCTGGTGCCACTTGCCCGACACGCTATGCATCGACGTCGGTAATTTGACGATCATTTATTTTTTCATTCTGTTGCTAGTAATCAGACAGTACCTAACGTAGTGTGTTGGCGAGATACACATGTCAATCATGTTGACTCGTTTTGTTTGTCTCACTGCCTGGTGCCACTTGCCCGACACGCTATGCATCGACGTCGGTAATTTGACGATCATTTATTTTTTCATTCTGTTGCTAGTAGTCAGACAGTACCTAACGTAGTGTGTTGGCGAGATACACATGTCAATCATGTTGACTCGTTTTGTTTGTCTCACTGCCTGGTGCCACTTGCCCGACACGCTATGCATCGACGTCGGTAATTTGACGATCATTTATTTTCTCATTCTGTTGCTAGTAATCAGACAGTACCTAACGTAGTGTGTTGGCGAGATACACATGTCAATCATGTTGACTCGTTTTGTTTGTCTCACTGCCTGGTGCCACTTGCCCGACACGCTATGCATCGACGTCGGTAATTTGACGATCATTTATTTTTTCATTCTGTTGCTAGTAATCAGCACAGTACCTAACTTACATGCTGCTGTTTAAATTAGTACATTTAGTAAAATGCTAAAGTCTTGTGGGTAAGTTCTTCCACTAGTCAATTTCTGCAATCGGTTGTAGGTACTGTTGTTTAGAATAAATAAAGTGACGTTATACGTCTGAAGCAAGGATTTTATCTAGGCCATCAAGCTTTTAGGTATTATAAATATTTAATTGTGCATGAACGTGTACTTTTTATTGTATTTTATGTTACCGTTTTTGGAGGGCTTTTTGATGTGCACGTATTGTGAGTTGACAAGATATAAGAATTAGATTAAAATGAGTGATTCGGAAAGGTCAGAGTTTGCAACGAAAAATTATTGATTAACGAGTTCTGATTTACCAAAAAAGAAAAATGGAAATAGACGATTGTGCAGTTTTTCCGATGTTTGTACGAAAAATTGTTAATTAATTTGATCAGTCCCAAATATATTTATAAAAAACATAACGCATTGTGTCTAAAAGACCAGTATAACTAATGGGGACCACATTGGCTAAAAAAAATCTGCGTTTTGCAGCCATTGTAACTTTCCCCATTTTAAAGCCAAATTCCCGATTTTTACCGTCTGTCCCGAAATTTGGCCCACTTGTCGTGGCCTAATGCGTGGTAGCGTAGACTAATGAAACCGCAACCCATCAAAATGAATAATATGTACTTTGTTATATGGTATAATTTATTTAATTATTAATAATTTTATACGTTTATTTAATAGTAAGCAATTTTTAATCATAATATTTATCACTATAAAAGATATAATGAGATTTAGCACTGAGGGCTGCGGGTTCAAAACCCGTACGTAAAGAATATTTGTATATACTATAAATAGTTGTGCTGGATCTGGATGGCTGTCTTTGTGAAATTTTCTACTTATGTTAACTGCCCCCACCATATACTTAAGAAAAATTCCTAGTGTGAAAAAACTATTTAAGAGCCGTGGTAGCTCAAAGGCGAAGTGCTCGCCGTAAACGCGAGTAACCCGGGTCCGATCCCCGCCCATAATGAATGAATATGTTAATTTAATGAATTATATTTACATTATCAAACGATTTCTTATCTATTTTATAAAGAAGTCTATGGGCCACAGCATCCACTTATCATCAGATGGACTGTGAGCTGGATTGTCACTTTTATCCTTTTTAAAAATAAACGGGATAAAAACATTCATTCCATAGAATACTATACCTAATACATACATTCCTTTCCCTCTGGACCGCGAAAGCGCTTAGACGTGCTCCCCTTATTTATCGATTTTTGGCAAAAATACATCATTATTTTAATATAAATTAAATTCAAATAACAACGAGTTATTGTCGTCAAAGTACTAGGACTGCATAACCTTTGAAAGAGACACCAACAGTGAGCATAACTATCCAGCTTCGCTTCACCGACTCACTACTCACTCCAACCACACACATCACTCCAACTTCGTGCTAATACGTTACAAGAGTCGCTTGCCCTAATTCATAAGCGGAAGCGATTTAAAGAAGAAAATGCCACTAAAGAGAACTCCACCGTCCACTCCTCAACAGGAAAGGTCCTTGCTGCAGGTCTTTGAATCTGATGTAAATCAAAGTTCTGCCCCGCCTACTGATACTGATAATGAAAGCTCCAATGTGAACAATCGGAATAGAAACCGACCCCGTAAACGCCAGCATGAGTCGTCATAACCTAACTTCTTTCATGGTAGAAATAAGGAAATCCATTGCAATTTTAACTAAGCAGCAAGACACAATACAGGAAAGCATTAAAGATATTAAACAGCAAAACACTGACATCAAAGAATCAATGGATTTCATATCAAAGCAATATGAAGATATGTAAAACAAATTGGCCAAACTGGAATTAGAAAGGAAATCTCATTTAGCCTATATTCAGGGTCTTGAACAAAAGGTAGAGAATTTGGAAAGGTCACAAAGGCAAGCCAGTATTGAGATCAGAAACATTTCTCTACATAAAAAGGAATCAAAGCAAGATCTGGTGCAACTAGTAAAAAAAGTTGGAGAAACAATGAATGTATGTATAAAAGAATCACAGATCCGGGACATCTTTCGTCTTAAAACCAAAAAAGAACATAATCAGCCAATAATTGTGAACTTTACCACAGTTACACTAAAAGAGAATATATTAACTTCAGCTAAGGATTATAACAAGGCAAACAAGGAAAACAAACTAAATACTGGTGACCTTAAAATAGTTGGAAAAACCAAACTAGTTTTATATCTGAAAGTCTGACCCAGTCTGCTAGAAAACTTTACTTCATGGCGCGAGAATTCAGTAAAAACCATGACTATGCTTACTGTTGAACTGCGCATGGAAAGGTATTCTTACGTGAAAAGGAGGGTGCTCCATGCCGTCGCCTTGACAAGGAGACTGATTTACAGACTGTCCCAAATTCAAGGTAAATGACTACCTGCCTCTCAAAATTTACTGCTTCAATTTCTTTTTTGGTACCTATTTATATTTGAAAATACTGCTTTACATTTTTTTGCATTTTTTGTATATTTATTTAGTGTTTTACATATTTTCATTTTCATTATTGTAAGTACAATTATAATTTATTGCCACGAATAGTAATGCTCTTTGTGAGAAAGGCTACCACACACACATTATACAAAATAAATACGGCATTTATACAATCAATACTTGTCTCAGAAACATTCATACTTAAATGGGGGAGCTATTATGGTTTCGTATCAACACAACTGATTGCTAGTACTTCTAAAAGGTGATCCTATAATGAATATCTCTGATGACATTGATCTTCTTGAAATATCCGAATTCATTGTGTGTAGTCCCGAATCTATTATTAATTACATAGATACATTACAAGGATCTATTTCAGTTATGCACATGAATATACGGAGTATATCATGTAATTTTGACGCATTTAATGTTTTATTAGAAAGAATCTCTTTCCCATGTGACGTCCTCGTTTTAACCGAATGCTGGCTGAGTAAACTGCTAAGTGTTCCAGAAATATCTGGATATATATCTTATGCCTCAGGCTACCGTAACCAGAACGATGGAGTTGTAATTTATGTTAAGTCCGAAATTAAGCATAGAACTTCGCTGGAGACCGAATTAAATGATTGTAATAGTCTTATTTTAAGTTTAGGGGATGAAATTGCGATTATAGCTATGTACAGATCACCATCATATAACAATATTGATAACTTTTGTGATGGTCTCGAAAATTGCTTGAATTCATTAGTGTCTATTAAATCAGTTATACTAATAGGAGATATTAATATAAATATAGCGTCAGATAGTTCTGATCCAAATCGTAACAGCTACATTGACTTAATGGCATCTCATGGTCTACTTCCAACGCATGTCATTCCGACGCGTAAAACTAGTTGTCTTGATCACGTGATGCTAAGATCAAATCGATGCTCTAAAACGCTTATTCTTGATTCACTCATAACTGATCATGCACCGACTATACTTGTGTTAGAGAGTAAAATTAAAAGAAATCAAGCCAAAGCTACCATCAGGAAAATTGATTACTCAGGTTTAGTCCAGGAATTATCTGTTACAAACTTTAACGCTGTATATAACGCTGCAAACACAAATTTAGCAGCAGTTTCTCTAATTGATATAATATCTAAAACAATTTCGTCTCTTTCCACATTGGCCTACGTCCCGCATCGAAAACGAGCTATTAAGCCCTGGATAACACCTGGTCTTGTACGATGCATCAGGAATCGTGACAAGTTACATAAAAAAGCAAAGATAGATCCTAACAATGCCATATTACATCTAACCTACTCTGGGTATCGTAATTTCTGCAATAATCTTTTAAAAAAAGCTAAAAACCGAATATGAAAAAAACCAGTTAAAAAAGAATAAAGATAATCCCAAGGAAATGTGGAACACTATTAATAAATTTGCTAGTCTAAAGAAACCAACTCTACACTCCAATGAATTGTTAAACCTCGCCGAAGACCCGCATGAATCAGTTAGCCTAATAAATGAATACTTTGCGAGTATAGGTCAGTCCCTTACTAATAAAATACAAATTAGAAGAGGTAGTTGTTTGACTAGTTTTGTAAGCATCCCTCATATTGATTCACAGAGAGATTCAATGGTTTTACTTGATGTGGATTATAATGAAGTTGAAAATATCATTATGAATTTTAAAAATAATTGCGCTACAGGTGTTGACAACATACCTACTCAAGTTTTTAAGAATGCAAGGAGTAGCCTTATTCCACCTTTGACCCACTTGATAAATCAATGTTTTGGCTTCAGGATTTTTTCCACACATTCTCAAGCTCTTGTACTTCTTGAGCTCTTGTACATCCTATCTATAAAAACGAAGATTGAGGTATGATAGGGAACTACAGACCCATCTCGGTGCTGACTATTGTATCCAAAATTTTGGAAAAGGCTTTAAATTCCAGAGTTATAAAATTTTTAGAAAAGACAATCGCAATAGCCCAAATTCAGTATGGTTTTTTAAAAGGCAAACCTACTGATGACGCTACTTTGAATCTTACAGAGACTATTGTTACGCACCTTGATGTAGGTCACAAAGTTGTAGGAGTTTTCCTGGATTTTTCGAAGGCATTCGACACCGTATCTGTACCATTACTATTGAAAAAACTTGAATTAATTGGTATACGTGGAATTGCCTTGGATATCTTTAGCGACTACCTCTCAAACCGCTCACAATGTGTCAAATTAGGTAACTACCAAAGTCTGGATTGCAGTCTCTCTTATGGAGTACCACAGGGCAGCGTTCTGGGCCCAACTCTCTTCCTAGTATACATCAACTTGTGTAAGCTTTCATTACCAAACTGCAAAATTGTCACTTATGCAGATGACACGGCGTTGATTGTTTATGGTAAGGATTGGGGTCGGGCTCAACACTACGCTGAATGTGCCCTCAGTGAGGTAATGAGATGTTTGGACGACAATTTGCCTACTCTAAATTTAGAAAAGACGAAGTACATAACATTCTCCCCTAGGGCTGTTATTCAACCTTCCATTAATTTTTGTATAAGGGCACACACGTGTGATAGATTTAATAACAGCTGTGACTGTCCTCAATTATCATCAACACGTAGCTTAAGATACCTAGGTCTGATTTTAGATAATCATCTTAACTGGTCATTACACATTCAATCACTAACAGCCCGAATTAGAAAATTAATTCCTATATTTTACAAAATGAGGAAATCTGCTGATCGCGATACACTAATGTGTGTCTACTATGCGCTTGTCCAATCTTTGCTTCAATACTACATTATCTCATGGGGTGGAACTAGCATTAGTACACTGCTTCCCCTGGAGCGGGCTCAGCGTGCAATATTAAAAGTGATTTATAAAAAACCGCGTAGGTATAGCACAACACTACTCTACCGTGAATGTTCAGTTCTTACGGTAAGAAAACTGTTTATCATACACACAATACTTCGTAAGCATAAGGGACTGCCATACGTTCCATCTCAAAAGCGTAATAAGACTAAAGTCTGCAAAATACCTTCACACAGAACCACTTTGGCAAAACGGCATTACTTTGTTATAAGTTCCCATCTCTATAACATCGCAAACAAAGCTCTGAATATTTATCCTTTAACCCTAAATCAATGTAAATTCGCTATCCGGGATTGGTTACTGAACCTAGAGTTTAATGATATAGAAAATATTATACAGGTCAAAAACCTCAAATAGCAAACCTCAATTACATACATCAGTTAACACTCACAAAAACACACACATACACACACACACACACACATTTACAAAACCCACATATCCTAATACTCGTAACACACACCCAACCAATCTTACAAACATACTATCCCTCATGCAACTACGCTTCTTGCTTATAATTATACCATACACCAAACACACCTCGTGGTAATCTTGCATATATTTCTATTTGATTTGTATCTACCTGCATGTTTTAATTTTAACTTTTGATTGTAATGATTTAAATATTGTCTGCAAAAAATTTTGTATAAGAACTTACCTGTTATGTAATAACATTTGAACACCCAGAGTGGAAGGCGCAGGCAGCCGTGGCACAGTTTATACTAGTACGGCTGCCGACGTTAACCTCTCAATGTAATGAATGGAACTTTTTATTTAAATAGTGTAAGTAATGATGTAAAATTAGTGGAGTGAATAAACAAATATTTATTTATTTATTTAATTTATTTAAATACATAATAGAACGAGGGAGTGGGTGGATCCCGTCTAGCCACTAACATTTCAGTAACATGTCAATTCACACCTCTGAATGTCAACACAATCAATCGTTTCAAATTTTCGTGTCATGCGACACTGCATGCAAATTATTTAAAAAATTGGCAAATTGTGCAATAATTACGTGTCTAAAGAACAACGTGAAAAGGAATTTAAATAAAGGAGACTTATCCTACAACCTGTAAGTCGAAACTGTTTATGTTTTGTGAATATTAGAAACAAAAATAAAGAAATATTGTTGTTTTTCAAAACATTAAATAAAAGTCTAAAATGTGTAAATTCGCTCAGTCTGTCAACACAGCGAATCGGGTTTGTAGTAGTAATAATACGACGTAATTGCTTGTATGTGTGCTCCTGGCGACACCGATCCTCGTACAAAATAAGGTTTACAGTCATTCTATTGTGTATTACAGTATTCTATGATTCATTCCATGTTAATTTTAAATTTTTTTACAATAGAGAAAAAGGGTAAGAAACTGCTATTATACTGTTGCTATTATGTGTACAGCCCATAGATACCTACATCTATCCTCAATTTATATTCAAAATACAGTTGCATGGACACCCCTGAGGATTCATTTCCGGTTCCGGTCTCTTAACATACGAAACACAGAAGCATTTTGCTTCTGATGATGGTATTGTGTGAGGTGCAATCGTGGTTCTCCCCGGTCGTGCCGACACACTCGTGCTGCAGTCGAACTCCTCTTGCTACGTCACTGCGCTTGGATTAGGTGACAGCCTTCTCATTTGATGAACATCTCTGGCCTCCGAGCGCAATTTTTAGATCAGGGAACAAAAATGTGCTTGGGGCTAGATCTGGTGGTAAAGGGTGGTCAAGCAATTAAAACCGTAATTCGTTCATTTTCGCCTTGGCAACCGCCGTTGAAAACAGATTTTATTTTGCAAATGTCGCCGTTTTTCCGCAATTTCTGCCTTCAGTTTGTCAAGTAATGATTAGTAGTATTCTCCTGTAATGGTTTTTTCTTTTTGAAAATAATTGATTCACATAACTCCTTGATTATCCCAAAAACAGTCACCATCACTTTCCCAGCTCAAAAAAGTTTTTGTTTTTTTCTTGAAGCCGGTTCCTCTTTTGCAGTTTATTGTTTTGACTGTATTTTTGTTTTAGGTGTATAATGGTATATCCAAGTTTTATCTACAGTAAATCATCGGCGTCAAAACTCGGATTTATTTAAACTGAGCCAACAGAGCGTTGGTGCGAATGTTCATACGAACACGTTTTTGGTCTTACGTGTACGCCTAAATCTGTATTTAATATGTGAAAAATACGTTCTTTGGATATTTTCATAGTCTCTACTATCTCTCACACTTTAATTCGGCGGTCGCCCAGCACCATTTGGTGAACGTTAGCGATGTTATCGTCAGTACTTGTTCAAGGTATTTCAGATATTTTACAGATACCAATTACTTAACATCATAATATAATTTGTTATCTTAATCAAAAGAGAATATTAAAAGTAACGGGGCTTCTATTACATATATCTCGCTTAGTTTCCGAGATATGGATACGCAAAAATCGAATACTAAAACTGAATCAGCACGTCCCGAATCCAAGTATTCTTAACTGCCCTACCTCTAGAGTGTTTTTGTCAGGCCGTAAGCGCGGAGAGAGAGCAGCGCCCTTCCGCTGTAGCAAATAGCAGGCACCAGTGTGAGCCGCAATGGCTGAGGCTGGTCCAATGAACCAAAAATGCGGCGGTGAGCATGGGTGCCTGCTATTTTCTACGCAAGGGTAAAGGGGCTACACTTCCCGCAGCTTCGAAGCTATTGCAGAAGCAACATTGTAAAATAAGTTCCATATTCCTGTGTAAAAAAGTAATTTTTGAGTATCGATACCCCGGAAACTAAGCGAGATATCGAAAAAATTTTATTTTACTTTTCGACGTAACTCGCCGAGATCTATGCTGCAACAATCTCTGCGAACTTAAAATCACGGCGCCATAAGAACCGTAGTCGTGCACATATAACTTCCGTTTACAGTCAAAAATGGTTGGATGATGTAAAATAGCGTTTTACCTTTTTCATAAATCGAATTAAAAGATTTAGAGTAGTAATAACTTAAATTTTATAACAAAGTAACTTAATAATAATATAAAAAATCTACTACTTGATAAAAATATTATATTGGTAATTAAAATTAACAATAGTAATTAAAAAGGAAGATTCTTACTCTAACTAATTATTTTACTTTTTGTTACAATATGGCGTCGTTGGGAATAAAAATACTCGTGGTACCACAGATCTAGTACAAATTCCATAGATTGGGCTTATGAATCAAAGAGAGCTAGTTATACACGATTTCGCATGCACCACTGTGAACTACCATATTTAACACACACGGCCAATCAAAAAGTCAACAATAACAAAAACAAAAAAATTAACAACGATGAAATAACGATCAAATGCAACAAACAACCAGAGAATTGATTCTTTTTGCATGCAGTACGGGCCTTGTGCGACTAAAGACAGCAATAGTATAGAGTGAGCACATGATCGGCGCCGCGATTTATGATTCGTTTCTTTATTCGCGCGGGTTATATAGGTTTCATATGTTTTGATCAATAAGCTGCTTAGGAATTATTCTAATACGAGTATAAACGTGAGTGTCTTAATAAAAAGAACGAAAACGTTCTTAAATTTATTTATTTGATATTACCTCAAAATTTTCTTATTTTCATTTATTTCATTACTTTTCACAATCCGTTTAACTAAGCAATAAAGTAGGTAAATTTCAGAATTAATTTTGTCTTTGCAATTTTAAATGGATATGGACTTCATAATTTATATTGTTACATTTCAATTAAATAATAAGTACAAAGTTATGTTTTGGAAAAACAGGATAGTTCGAAGGTCGTGGCGAATATCCGAGTACCCGCGCATACTTACCTAAGTCGGCCCGCTCACGCAGGAATCCGCCCTAACATGGCTCAAGTTTTGTCACGGCTTTTCCTACGCAATCTGAGAGTTTTAAATAGAACGCCGATGGCCGACAGAGAATTGGAGGTAATTTTTTTCATACTTTGTGTTTTAACCAGTAAATAAAGTACCCGTATTATAATGTATGATGGGGAAGAAAGTAGTGTAGGGCGACCCCCCACTAAATGGAGTGACGACCTGGTAAGATATGCAGGAAGTCGATGGATGCAGGTGGCTCAGGACCGTGCTTTGTGGCATTACTTGGGGGAGGCCTATGTTCAGCAGTGGACTTGTGAAGGGCTGTGATGATGATGATGATGATGATTATAATGTAAAGTTAAGTAGTAAAGCAACAGTCTAATGTACGTCCCGCTACTGAGCACAACCCTCACATCTCTGACAGGGTTGTAGGTTAGACTTTTACTTTAGTTCATGGCTTTTACGTATCCCCAATATATGTTATTAATCTAACAGCGAATTTCCTCACGATGTTTTCCTTCATCGCCGAGCACGTAGTAAATCAGCATTTGAAATTGAAATTAACAAGTGCTTAGCCCCTGAGCTATCACAGCTCGCGAAAACGTTAAAATATCACAATAATGATTTCTTATATTTACGCGAACACTACACATTGAAATAATACTAGTTTTTTACGGAATTTATCGCGTATATTTAACTTTTTAATTACCCGACGTTTCGAGAGCTTTACAGCACCCATGGTCACGGGAAGGACTGAGATGTTCAACGTCCAGCTGTCATAGTTAACCGCGGTTACCATAGATTAAAATTTAACTTTTGTTCGACGCTCCGGGAAGTCTGCAGTCTGTGAATATGTACAGGATCGCCCCCCGTCACTACATCAGATTTGATAGACCACAAATCCTCGCTAAAGAACACCGATTCCTTCCAAGGATGATTCGCGAGGCTATTGAAATCAAAAAACATCCTAATTTCAATAGAGAAGATGGCTGGGTGCTACCATCTGCTTGGGATCCTATAATAAATAAAATTAAATCCCAACCCAAGCATACAACTGCAAGACTCCATGATACCATAAGTTCATACTGTGTAGATCGGAACAAAAGTTAAATTTTAATCTATGGTAACCGCGGTTAACTATGACAGCTGGACGTTGAACATCTCAGTCCTTCCCGTGACCATGGGTGCTGTAAAGCTCTCGAAACGTCGGGTAATTAAAAAGTTAAATATACGCGATAAATTCCGTAAAAAACTAGTATTATTTCAATATCACAATAACTTTCATTACTCTACAAAGTATAAAGACTGTTTTGTTCATACAGCAAAAGTGGAGGTTTTTTTTACAGAATAAGGATAATGTATGGCCACACAGTCCACGTGATGGTGAGTGGATGCTGTCGCTCATAAACATCTACATTTGTCTATTAAACATCAAAATGCAGATGCGTTGTCATCCTTGAGGACTAAGGTGCTTTGTTTCCATTAAAAAGAGTCTCCGGTTCTCACATTTACAATACGAAATACAGCAGCACTAAGATAATGAAATTTACTCTTAAGATAAGAAGGCGAAGATGGATAATTTAATATGTAAAAAAGTACAAGTGATATTCTGGAGTTGCGTCTCTGCCGGATTGTAAGCCAATTTAGCTTAGATCTGTATTGCGAAATATGATCATACTTACGAAGCCCAAAGATAAATCTTATACAGTTATTGAGAAGGCGTTCCAGCTTGTTCAGAAGATCTTGGGACAGGTCTGGGTAACACACATCTGCATAATCAATTATGGGTAATATAAGTGAATGGACAAGCATGATCTTAGATTTTGTGGGAAGAAAATGTTTTAAACGATACAGAGAGCATAACGTGGCAGTGACTTTACGACTCACATCTGAAACCTGAGTCCTCCAATTCAGCGTGCTGTCGATGTGAAGGCCAAGATTTCTAACAGAATTATTGATTAAAATTGTAGTATTATCATAGTAAATAGGAGGTAAGTCTGTCAGATTAATCTTAGCCAGCATCCTTGAGCTACCCACCAGTATAGCTTGGAATTTCAAAGGATTGACCAAAACTCCATAACGAGTAGACCAATCCTTGATAGCTGCTAAGTTGCCGTTAAGGTTTTTGATCCCATTATGGATATCCCCAATCTCAGTTTGCATATAAAGCTGAAGCTCATCGGCATACAAATGGTACGAGCAGTCGATGATGGATGTAATAAAGGTTATAAAAATTGAAAATATTATAGGAGAAAGATACCGCCGTGCGGCACACCAGCATCCACATCAGCTCACGTTGAGGACAGTTGCCCCACACTGACTGACTGCTGTCGACCGCGAAGATAAGATGTAAACCAATCCAATTCAGTAGGGCCAAAATTCAGATGAGACAGTATGGAAAGAAGGATTTCATGATCAACTGAGTTGAAAGCATTTGAGAAATCAACTAGTACCAGTACTGTTATTTTTTTTCTTCCATGCCTTGTTTAATATTATCAATAACATTAATTAATGCAGTAGCGGTACTATGACCAGGACGAAATCCAGACTGATATATACTCAGTAGGTTATGTTTAGAAACAAAAGTAGAAATTTGCTTGTAAACACAGAATTCTAAAATTTTGGAAAGAAAGGGTAGAATGGATATTGAACGAAAATGATTGGGAAGAATGGGAGTAGGAACTTTTGGGAGAGGCTTTACAAAAGCCCTCTTTCAAAGATTAGGATACTGATCTGAACCAAGGGAAAAATTGATTATATGGGAAATTGCCGGGAGAAGGTGCTCTAGAATAAATACTACCATATGTCTACTAATCTCGTCGTAACCCACGGCCTTGGACTGGATTGCTAAATTCGACTTTTTGACATCATCCTGAGAAACAGTAGAAAAATTAAAGGTAGGAATGTTAGGAATTTGCATAGAAGCAATGGAAGCCATAGTTTGGGAACGAATTGTAGGGTCCAGTGCTTTTACAGAAGCGAAATGTTGGTTGATTTCATCAAGTGACGCAGAAGGACCACAATCCAACGTAGCTGGTCTACAAAAACCGAAAGATTTTAGGAATTTCCACACTAAAACTGGAGAAGAGTTATTAATACAGTTATGGAAATATCGGCGTTTAGCTGCACGTACCATATGATTACACCTATTCCTAGCTGCTTTAAAAGATATCCAATTTTCTTCAGTTCGATCTCTCTTGAAACGAAGAAAAGCACGATTTCGTCTAGCCATTGCCATCCTTACGCCCTCTGTCATCCGAGGGGCAGGGGGACGCTTCAATCTAACCTTGTGAACAGGAGCATGAGCATCATAAAGGCTAAGAATATTGTGGTTAAGGATAGTGACTTTATCGTCAACAGTAGATGCTGCTATTAAAGAGGCTAGATCGAGATTAAGAGCGTCATTCCCAAGCTTATCAAAGTCTATTTTAAAAATTGCGAAGATGCATTACAGTAGGGGAATATTTAGGGAGGTTTAAGCTTATACGATGCATCAATTAAGTGGTGGCGTGAGAAACCCAAAGCGGGTAACTGTCCATGCGGCATCACATGTTCAGGAGAAGCAGCAAGGATTAGATCAATCAATGAGTCATCGGTTCCGATATTATGATGAGTAGCCTTTAAAGGGAGAATAAAAAGATTAACCGACTCAATAATTGAAAGAAACCTTTTGGAACGAGGGCAGTTTTTCAACAGATCAGTATTGAAATCACCCATGATTATAGAGTTAGTGTACTCAGAACAAATATCAACAGGAGTCATATCTAAAGTGGCGAAGTAGTCGGTAGATGGGGGGCAATACACTAACCCTAGAAGCATCCTGATGCCCTTGACATCGAGTTCCACAAATAAAAACTCAGAAGAAGCGGAATAGCAGGAGGGAGATGCTAAGACAATTTTATAAGGAATTGATGCGTGTAGGTAGATTGCTACACCACCTCCACCTTTTCCAACACGAGCATTCCTAACAAGTACAAAGCCGGGTAAGGGATATAAAGTTGACGGTAAAGAAGGTTTCAGCCAACTTTCCGACACTAATATAGCATGAATATACTCGGGAAAAAATGAAGCTTCAAGTTCGGAATAGTTGCTCGGGATACTTTGAGCGTTAATATGACATATGTTCACAGAGTTGTTAAAAAACGTAAAAACCCCTTTGAGTAGTTTAGTCGAATTTTCAGGTTGTTTCGTTGATAATGTGTACTTAAAGGCGCTGCAAGATGCGAGCGGGGAAGTATTGAATTTGGCGAGACAAGCGAAGCTTCGAAGCGAAATAAAGTGAATCAGTCTGGTTAATTATTAGTGTTCTAAGTTTTAATTAGTGTGAAGTGAATTAAAGTGTTATTTTTGGTAATTCTATCAGCAATTTTTATTGTTACGAGCCTCAAGCTCGTAACAATTGGTGTCAGAAGTGGGATAAAATCAAGACGATTTTACCTAAGGAGGAAACGGTGGGTGTCCGTACCCGAAGTCAACGCCAGCAGGAGACGGACCAAAGAAGATTTGGTGGTACAACCTCGCAGACGTCGGAGGGCCAACCGCCGGCTGTAGACCCGTCAGTAGCTCCTATATCTGCAGCACCTGACTTAGGTGCTCTGATGGTGATGCTGCAGGAGCAGGCTCACCGACGGGAGGAACAGACCCGCCGACAGGAAGAGAAGATGCTCCTCGTGAAGGACATTCACGCTAACTTCGAGAAAGAGATAAGGGAGGTGAAGGATAGGGTTGCTTAACATGACAACCGCCTGTCGGAAGCTGAAACCCAAATCAAGTAAGCTAAAACCCAAATCGACCAAGTGAACAATCGGGTTGATTACGTGATAGCTGACGTGAAGAAAACGCTGGACGACCTCAAACTGGGGGATGGAATTACAGCTCCCGTAGTAGCTACAATACCTTCGCTACGTGAGTTCAAGGTGCCACCGTTCGACGGGACTTCTTCCTGGTCGGCCTACAAAATCCAGTTCGAGGCTGTTATGAAGGCAAACGGCTGGAATAAAAGTCATGCCATGACTGCTCTCACACTAGGCCTGCGCGACCAGGCCTTAACAGTTCTGGAAGCTCTCGGTGAGGAAGTGACTTATGAGCAACTCCATGAGGAATTGGAGGCGAGATATGGCGACGCTCACCTGGAACACGTCTTTCGAGCGCAGCTTTAAGATCGCGTGCAGCGCATCAACGAAAACCTGCAGCAGTGGGCTCTAGAGGTGGAGAAGCTGGTGCGAAAAGCATACCGCTCTGACTTGCGCTCATTGAAGGGAACCCGGTGCAGATATTCATCGACGGCATCCGCGACCTGGAAGTCAGAGCTGCTATGAGGCTCAGGCACCACGAGACGCTTAAGGACGCCTTGCCCCATGTACTGGAGGTGGAAGCCGTGCGGCAAGATCATCGTTCCCATCGCGTCAGGGAGGTTGCAGCAGCTACAGTTCGCGACCGCAACAAAGGATACAGCCCTAGGTGCTATGGCTGTGGGAAAAGGGGCCATCTTCGATCCAGCTGCCCTAAGCGAACTGTAGAAAGGGAAGTTGATCGATTTTGAGAGGATAGTGCAGCTAACGGCACCGCATGGCGGTGGCAGGATCGTCGTTCCCCTCGCGCTAGGGAGGTTGCAGCAGTTACGGTTCGCGACCACAATAAAGGATACAGCCCTAGGTGCTATGGCTGTGGGGGAAAGGGGCCATCTTAGATCCAGCTGCCCTAAGCGAACCCTAGAAAGGGAAGGTGAACGATCTCAGAAGGGAAGTGCGGCTAACATCACCGACCAGCAGCAGCCGGGATACGACTTTACTATCAGACATCTCAGCGGGAAATCTCATGGCAACGCAGATGCACTGTCAAAAAGACCTTGTCCTGAAGATTGGAAACATTGTACTAGGCAAGAGAGTAAGGAAGTGGTATCCGTGAGGATGCTCAGGACAGACCACCTCAGCAACGAGTGGAAGGACAGCCTACGACATGCACAGCAGGAAGATCCGGACATCAAGCCGATTCTGGAATGGATGAATGGATGAATGGATGAGTTCAACCACGAAAAGCTATTGGGCCCAATGGGACAGCTTGCTGATTCAAGATGGAGTCCTGTGCTGTAAATGGGACAATGGTCGAGGAGACAGTTGTCGTTTGCAAATGGTTGTCCCTAAAGCTAAAGTACCGAATGTTCTACAGCTGTGCCATAATGGTCGTTCAAGAGTCCATCTGTGAGTTAAACGAACTCTACTGAAGGTCCGAGAACAGTTTTACTGGGTCCATTATCGTGACGATGTCGAGGATTGGTGTCGCACATGTACAAGGGGACCTTAGACACGTAGTAGAAGAGCATCGACATTGTACAATATTGGAGCACCATGGGACAGCCCTTGACATTGTGGAGCCGTTACAGAAAGGCGCAAGAGGGACCCCTAAGATCGTCCATTTGGATCGCCTGGCGCGTTATTATGTGGCCGATAAGTGCAGTAAGTAAGGCAGTGTTCCGCACCTGAATTGACGTCATGTACCCGGCACTAGCGCCATCTAGTGTCGGGGACGAGAGCGAGGGGAGCTTTCCAGAAAATGACATCACTAATCTTTCAACCGACAGCGCCATCTAGTATCGAAACGAAGAAATAAGATTCTAGAAGCCCGACACTCGAACTTTCGGCGCCTAGTCGATTGGCGCGCGTATTTACTTGAATATTCTGGATGTTTCGTTGATAATGTGTATTTAAAGGCGCTGCAAGATGCGATCGAGGAAGTATTGAATTTGGCGAGACAAGCAAAGCTTCGGAGCGAAATAAAGTGAATCAGTGTGATTAATTATTAGTGTTTTAAGTTTAATTAGTGTAAAGTGAATTAAAGTGTTAATTTTGGTAATTTTATCGGCAATTTTTATAGTCACGAACCTCAAGCTCGTAACAGTATTACTAGCGTATACGACGCGTATGTATATTTTCTTATGTATGTTGGCAGATTTTCCGAAAACTGCTGAGTCTGTTTAAACGATTCCATCCATTGCAGCCTGCTACAGTTCACAGCTGAGCACAGGCCTCCGCCGTAGATATAGGGCGATGTTACCGCACTTAGTACGCTCAGCGGGCGGGCAGCCAGCCGCAGTTGTTTGTTAGTTTCAGCTGAAAGGGGAGATCTCCCATCTGGCAAGGTGTTTAGAGCGGCCAACTTTGTACAGAGCTGTTCTATAGAGGTATATAGGACAGTACTTCGAAACTTTGATAGCATGATTTAGTCTTCGGCGCGTTTCACTTGTGGCGCCACGATAGCCTCACCACAATATGATATTGCTATATGGTAAAAACCATTTTAACGAAAAAATTTGCTTGGATTCGGGGTCTTAATTCTTCGTTACACTATTTCTTAACATCGACTCCAGAAGCTATTATTTGGAAGCTAGTGGACTATTCTAACATTTTATTTAACCTTTAATTTTTATTTTAAGTTAATAGGTATAGATTACAACTAATATTTAACATATAATTTGCGTAGGAAGCAGTGTCCGAACCGAGAACAAGAAAGACACGCACGCGAAACCAACTAGAAACGATAGGAGAGAAAGTACAACAGCTTCATGCACCGTCTCAGTTTGAAGTGCACATGCAGATGGAAGAAAATGTTACGAATGAGCTTAAGGTGGAGCAATTGGACTTGGACCGGACAGAATTTCCAACGTGGGTTGTTGAGACTCTGTCACAGCATGCCTCGAAACAAGCTGACGAGTTTCAAGTTCCTGTAAGTAATATTATTTATATTTATTAGATAGGCTAGTTCTACCTTAACTCGCCAATAGTCTCCATCTTACATACATAAATTGCACATGAACCCAGACCCAAAATTATTTGTTGACTCTACAAATACTTTTACCGTGCGGGAATTGAATCCTCGTCCCTAATTCCTGACCAGAAATACGTAGCCATGGCGTTAGTAGGCTATATACTTATTTATGCAATAAATAGGTATATAGCCTACTAACGCCATGGCTACATATTTCTGGTCAGGCCTGAGGGACGAGGATTCAATTGCTCAAACTAGTCAGCTTGGATAACATCAATTAACCTTCTGGCTGTACCCGCTATTTTCCATAATGACAACAGAATTTCCCTTGTCGGCTTTGGTAACAATAAGGTTATTGTCTTTTATTCTCTGCTTTAGTGACATAAAAATGGGGAACTCAGGATTGTAATGAGAAGATGCGGGCAAAGCCTGAATTTCTTTAGCTAACAAACCTTTAACGATGTTATTTTACCCCCCAATCACAACAGCCAGCTCCGCGTCAACGGCCACTTGATGTTTCAAGCAAATACTTCTGCATGAGTGCACTACACGGTAACCTTGTAGCGGCGGTGTAACAATGTCCACTACCCCTTATCGTCCCGGGGGTGTCGTAGAATCATCGGCGACAGAGGGACGCTGAAAAAGGACGGTATTTCATCCGCCTTTTCCTGAAAACAACTCAAAATAATGATAAAATCTGCAGTTGTCAACCGGCAACTGTGGCAAATAATAACCCAACCAAGGACGCAATCCATTTTGAAGGCCTATGTTTAGCGGTGCACTTGAATAGGCTATAATGATGATGATGGTGATAACCTGTTAACTACTATACTAACATAAAATTGGCAGAATTATATTAGGAGAAGGCTGCAAAGTAAACTAGTAAAAGATTATTTTAGATTCTGAAGTTGTATTATATGTGAAACAAAAAAAAATTAATCAATATATACTGTAATACTAATACTTATTGAAAGTCACTTTTTGTTTAATTACTTCTGGTTCGGAAAAAACCTTAGTCCTCGGAAGAACCAGCAAAAAGCCCAGCTTCTTTTTTAGCCAGACTTAGCATAACATAATACATAACATAAACACTCACGCCTGTCACCCAAAGGGGCAGGCGGAGACTACGGACTTCCATTAGGACGATCCTGACGTACCTCGTTCGCCTCGTTTACATCCATATATCTATCTACACATACATGCTCGTCGGTTAAGGGTACTTCTAATGTGGCCCATTTTCAAAATATCGTCAATTTGGTCGATAAACTTTCTTCTAGGGCGTCCCTTCCGGACTCTGCCGGGACTTCTTTTTTTACATAATAGCTTACAATCATGTATTACACAATAACCAATAAAACATATAAATACATATTGTTACGAGCTTGAGGTTCGTGACAATTAAAAGTGCCGATTGAATTACCGAAATTAACACTTTAATTCACTTTACACTAATTAAAATTTAAAACACTAATAATTAATCACACTGATTCACTTTATTCCGCTCCGAAGCTTCGCTTGTCGCGCCAAATTCAATACTTACTCGATCGCATCTGGCAGCGCCTTTAAATACACATTATCAACGAAACATCCAGAATATTCAAGTAAATACGCGCGCCAACCGACCAGGCGCCGAAAGTTCGAGTGTAGGGCTTCTAGAAAGCTTAGTTCTTCAATTCGATACTAGATGACGCTGTTGTTTGAAAGACTAGTCATGTCATTTTCTGGAAAGCTCTCCTCGCTCTGTTACCCGACACTAGATGGTGCTAGTGCCAGACGTCAACTTAAGCGCGCAACAATATTTTGTGATTATTTATAGACGTTTACTGTGTAAGCACTCAAAAAAAGAAATATGCGTAATAACAAAGACAGTTACCTCATATATATAAAGGCATGGAAGTGTTAACATTTTCAGACTAAGAAAAAAAGATTTACAACTATGCATCTATTTTAACTTCATAATGGCCCTTACACATCTCTTTTGGGTTCTAAATATCATCTCATAATCACATCTATCTAAATATTCTAAATATCATATCGATGTCCACAGAGTTACCCCAAAATGTGACACCATACGTATCCTACCACTGATTCTACATAACCGTGGTACGCAGTGATGACGGCAGATTGATACACAATTGTTCCAAGACCATGCAGTGCATAAGAGAACTGGTTTAGTTTAGTCACAGATTACCTCCTAATAGATTCCGCATACAGGGCCACAAACGCGCGCAACACATACTTGCTGTAGCTAGCATACGAAGTGACGCTAAGAATCACGATATCATTGTCGACCAAGTTTGTGACCCGTAGGTACGTCCGAGTTTTTGAAAATTTAAAAATAATTTTTGTATCCAAAATACATTACAAATGGCTTCCTATGCAGTGAAATGGTGTAGCAAGTCAGCTAAGACATCCAGTTATCAAAAAGGTGGCATAATATTTCATCGGTAAGTAAATTTTATTCTTATCACGTTAACCTATTTCAAATGCACCGGAGTTCAACTTACACTGGATACTAAATGTTGCAAAGTGATATCATTTGAGCACCCGTTGATGTCTTTTTTAATATGTTCCTTTAACTCATTACGTAAATTAAAATAGCTGTCTTTGTCTAACGACAGCACGTGTATCGATATTGTGATTTATAAGTCGATATTTGTTTGGTCATCGTTTACTTTTCTTTTGTAGTCATTATTTTATACAAATAGTGGCGTAAAGTAAAAGTAAAAGTAAAATATACTTTATTGTACACCAAGGAACATATTACATTATTTATGTATTTAAAGGGACATTGGTACAACAGGCGGCCTTATCGCTAAAACAGCGATCTCTTCCAGGCAACCTTAGGGCAGAGGATACTATTTTAAAAGATAGCGGAAGGGGTGTACAGAATATGATAAAGAAAGATAAATAGAAGAACATAAATGATTAAAAAAAAATGAATGACGACAGGTAGTAACTTAAGAGGAAAGGTAATAAAGTTTTAATTTATTTTTAAATATAGGAAGAGATTTAGATTTTTTGATATGTAAGGGGAGAGAATTCCATAGTCGTATAGCGGTAACCGTAAAAGAATTAGAATAGAAGGAAGAGGAATGTCTAGGGGTACTTAGAAGGAGATTATTTTGAGATCGTAAACTACTTAAATATATAAATCGGTCTTTCAAATAAGAAGGAGTGGTCGGATTGAACAGAATGCAGTAACGAAGATGAAGAATGTGAGTATTCCTGCGAAGACGAATCGGGAGCCACTTGAGCTTATGGCGGAATTCGGATATGTGGTCATACTTTCGTAACCCAAATATAAACCTTATGCAATAATTTTGAAGCCGCTCAAGTTTATTAAGTTGCTCGTATGTTAGGTCAAGACAACAAGTGTCCGCGTAGTCAAGGATCGGTAAAAGAAGAGACTGAGCCAGCGCAACTTTAGTAGGAATGGGGAGAACATTGCGTAATCTTCGAAGTGAACCAACTGCGGCAAACATTTTTTTACTTATTTCACTAACTTGCGGTCCCCAAGACAAAGTCTGATCGAACATAATACCTAAATTCTTAACTTTGTCACTGTATGGGATAAGTGTCCCATCGAATATGATTGGCGGGAGCAGCGACAAAGTTAACCGAGAGATTAATTTCGAACTCCCAATAATAATGGCTTGAGTCTTCAATGGATTAACTTTAAGCCCAAATGAATTACACCAATGAGAAATACGAATAAGATCTTCATTAATTAATCTAATTGTATTGGGGAGATCCGCAATCTTACATTGAGAGTAGATTTGTAAATCGTCTGCATATAGGTGGTAAAGAGAAGTTATGTGGGAACAGATCGAATTGATGAAGATAGAGAACAATAGAGGAGACAACACGCCACCTTGTGGGACGCCAGCTTTGACAGCAGACCAGTCAGAAAACGTGTCTTGAATTTGTACACGTTGCCGGCGCCCTTGCAAGTAACTATGAAACCAACCAATTACTTCAGGAGATATGTTAAGAGAACTTAGGACAGCGAGTAAAACATCAAAGTCTACAGTATTGAAGGCATTACTAAAGTCAAGCAATGTCAATACTGTAACCTGCTGACTATCCATGCCCAGGCGAATATCATCAGTGATTCTAACCAAAGCCGTAGTCGTACTATGACCGGGACGGAAACCAGATTGGAATGAATTCAAAAGGTTATGATTGGACAGGAATTTGCTCAGCTGTTGGTATATTAGGCGCTCGAGTACTTTAGAGAGAAAGGAAAGGATGGATATAGGACGGTAATCCTCATATGTCGGATTAGATTTTTTAGGGAGTGGAGTTACTAGGCCGTCTTTCCAGGATGAAGGAAAAACACTGGTGTCAAGGGAACGGTTTAAAATAAGTGTAAGTATAGGAGCTAAAAGATCGAGTATTGGGATAATCATCTTACGACTAATGCTGTCAGAACCAACTGCGTCGGAAGTAATGGCTAATATATTCTTCTTAACATCACTGACAGTAACTTGGCTAAAGACAAAAGAGGAAAAATTGGGAGTTGATATAGCAGAAAGTTGAGCAAGTGTATTTTTCTTCGTAGCACTGTCTATAGTGGCGCTAGAGAGGAAATGAGCATTAAGCTTATTTAAATTCAAATTAAGAGATTCTACATTACGCTTTGCTTTTCCAACCCCTAAAGATTTGAGAAAGTTCCAAACTTTAGTTGAGTTATCTTCCTCAACAACAGATTTATGGATATGGCGTCGTTGACTATCTCTACACACCATATTGCAGCGATTTCGTGCCCTGTTATATTTCTCTCGGTTAGAATCATTAGGATTCATACGATATTTAGATTTCGCTATGTTCTTTTTTTCTTGAAGTTTTTTTATATCGGCAGTGAGCCAGGGGGCAGGAAGATGCTTCATTCGAACTGGACGAATTGGAGCGTGAATGTCATACAGTTGTGTAAGTATGCTGTTAAAAATAGATATCTGCTCATCAACCGAACCAGCATTCGC